TTAGTTCATATATTTTCTGTGTTGGAAAGTAAGCAAAACAGTTGTCTAAGTTAATTGTGTGGTGGGAATTTGCCCTCTGTCTCGGCGAACGAAGTGTCCTGCTGACGTGGGGTTAACGCCACCCCTCTAAACACACCACTGCATTAATCCAAGTCAGACACCTGTTCAACACATTGATCCCCCAGGATCAGCCTCTGTCAGAGTTGAAAGGTGCTCACGCAGGAATGTGCTTTCGCTGCTTTAACTGCATTTTTAAACCAACTTAATATAACCCAGTGACCTCTCTAGGACTTTAGGTTTTAAATATCTGAACATTTAAATGGGTCGTATTGTCCCAATTGTTGCATTTTATTTGTTCTTGTAACAAAAACATCATAATTGAGGTTTAGATGACTATTTTGACCCTCACTCTGACTCTTAGAATTGAACAGTTTTTGCTACTGTGCATGTAATAATTTATGTAAGTGACCACTGGTTATGTTTCCATCCACCTATTTTTATGTGCATTTTGGGATATCACATAGAAAAAAACACTGTTTGGAAATGCCAAGTAATTTATAAAAAGGCGCAAGTAATTTATACAAAAAAGACCCACAGTGGCTTCTCCTACTGCAGCAATATTTTATGCAATATACGCATAAGTTAAATTCGCAACTTTAATGGAAACATAGCTACTGTTTTTCATCAGAGCAGGACAAGTTGCTAAGTATTATTATTTTATTTTAAATGTATTTATTCTGTATGTACATTTAAATTTTTATTATGGCCAGTATTAAACTTCTATTCTCTTTGGTCTAAAAATAATAGCACTAAAATGAATAGTTTTTATCCATGTATATGTATAATGTTGTGACGCTTAAGTGAATTTAGACATTGCAGCATTATAATGCACAGTATGAAATAATTATTTATTTTGAAATAAATAGTTAATAAAAAAGTTAAATGATAAGATGAGTCTCAATTGAGGGGCCGCTTTTCCAGAAGTGGTTAAAGAGATAATGGAAATTTGTTGAAGTTAGTGTTACATGACTGCTAAAGTAGTCTAAAACCTGAAAATAGGTTGAATTAATCATCCACATTTAAATAGGCTATCCAGTATTGACAAAAAAATGATATGGTTGTCATCCCTCCCTACTATTATTTCAAAAGAGCAAAACAAAAACTATTGTTTTTCCATGATATGACTTCTCAGTATAGTTAAACTGATTGCTACAGCGGTCAACCAAGGCTTGCTGGTGTTTTACAAGTGATTGGTTCTTGTTTCTTATTATGGAGATTGATAGGCATGAGACTGTTTGCACATCGGTGAGCCTGACTGTCAAGAACAGAGCTGGGCTATTAGTATGCTAATTGCGCTCGGGCAGAGATGAATGCTGACCTCGTGGTCTAAAGGGTCATTCTTGTATATAGACATTGCAGATGGATGCAGGCTGAAGTCAGTGCTATCTTAACTGTCTGAACTGTCGGTTTGCTACATGGGAATGTTTAGTCATATGCAGTGTGTGGCGAGCAGATTAGCCTGTTTGCATTCTGCACTATTGTTTTGTACTGATGACAGCCTTTTTCCTTTCTAGCCTGTTGGTGAAGGCAAGCATCACTATTGTTAGTGCTGCTTATACACAGGGATTTCATCAAGACATTTCAGGGCATATAGCATAGCACAAGCAATGCCAAAATCCTGATTTTGATTCCCAGGGAATGCATAAACTGATAAACTATATCTTGAATGAAGCCGCTTTTCATTATAGCATATCAAATGGGAATGTAACAGGTTAGCAACCACGCAGAACATCATAGCAACCACATAGCAATGCAAATTGCAAAAATTGTGTCCTGTTGTCAGTAAAAGCTGCTTTCAGGGAAGATAAATGCTTTTAGAATGCTTTGTGTGGTGTGAACTGGGAGGTGGCTGCAGTCCCATATGTTTTCAGTTATTCTGGGTGTGATCGTCAGGTCGGGTCGCCACAAGCTTGACCGAAATTCTACACTGACACGTTTTATTATGCTTTTTCTCCACTTGGAAATAAAGCTATGAGCTCATAAGCTTGTCCTTGTCAAACTCTCTGATGATTTGCATGAAAGCTGTAATATAACCTGTCATCGCCCCCTGCTGGTAGGATTTCACCATTCTTTATGGACATAGGCATTTCCGTGCAATGTGAATATTTTTTGTCGCGGAGACTGAAATGATCTTTCAATGCATAGAGCATACTGTTTATCAAATGTGCAGTTTCCACCTCTAGAAAACCGATTTCAGCCTAAGAGAATTCAGCCTAAACCTGGGTTATTATAGTAAAACTAAAACCATAAAAACATTTTTCATTAGTTGAAATAAAATACATTTTAAAAACTTTATTTTGTTATAGCTAGTTGCTTAAGCAATATTTCTCATTTTAATTTAGTTGAATGTCATGCAATATCTAAAACTGAAATAAAAGTTAATAAAACTATATAGACATTAGCTAATAAAAATGACAAAAACACACAAGAAAATGTATATTTAATGAAAATGAATGTTATTTCAGTCTTAGTTCAGCTTCATTTTCCAATGCAACATTTCTAATTTTTTTTTATTTAGTATAACTTGATGTACTAAAATAAGTAGAAGATAGAAATAAAAATGTATAAAGGCTTTACAGACATAGTAAAAAAAAAAAAACTCATGGCACACAACAAAATTACTAAAACATGAACAAAAAATACAAATGAAAATAGAAAAATGTAAAAACAAACTCAAAATACTAATTAATCTATTAAAGTATCTGAGTGATACCTCAATAAAACTGGCCTAAACTGGAATGTCACCACCATCGAGGGACCCAGCCTCCCTGAATGGATCATGTCAACATGTCAATGTTTTTGGGAATTTTTCAAATTCCGCCTCTTACTTTTCTCCAGTTGCTCTGCACATGTTTTTCCATATGCCGAAAGCAGTGACAGTTGACATATTTATGGTCCTCAGCAGACGAGCGTGATGATATCAGCCTGGATGGAAAGTTTGACTCTGCTACGGAATTCCTGAAATTCAAATGGATAAGAGATAAAAGACCGCATCCCGCCCTATAACTGATTTATGAGCTCCACGGCACAGTCCAGGGCTTCAGACTGTGCGTTCGTCCCTCTGTACACATGATGATAAAGCTGAGATGAGTTTTCTCTAGCAGGGTTTAGAGTTCCAAGGTCAAAGGTGGGACGGCGGTGGGGGCAAACAGTCAGCCGTAGCACTCATGTCTCATTTTCATCAGCAAACCCTCTTACCGGGCTTCAAAGACATTCTTGTGTGAAGCCGAAGAGTGTGTCCTGTCTTCCTGTGTCTGTGTGCACTAGATAGATAGAATACTATCTATATATAATACTATGTGCGCACTAGATACTATATGAAGTCTAGTACAATCCAGCATGCTAAACTGATAAAATCTGATTAATGCTCCCAAAAATTGGTGGAAAATTTCATTGTGATTTATTAAGAAATTGAGCGATTCCTTAATTAATTAATTAATTAATTAATTTATTTATTTATTTTATTTTACCTAGCAATGGCCCATAGCTGTGGTAAATTCACTATAATTGGAGTTGATTTTATTTTTATTTTTTTTATTAGGCCTTTTGTTACAGATAGAATCAAACCGCCTGAAGTTGGTATACACTAGAGCTGACAGGAAATGGCCCTTTGTATTTTGAGGAAACACACGGTGACTCTCCTGACACTCATTGTTCTGGTTGCCATGGCGTTTGTTCTCTTGATGAATTTCAGGAATTAGAAGCCCAAAATGTTTTCCCTTATCTGTGATTTGTACATTTATTGTGCTCCGAGTCAGAAATGAGCCTGTTTCCTTTGTGTCTTTCCACTACAGAGTTTATTTTTTTTCTTGCTCATACAGCTGGCTTCAACATGACATTTAAGGTACTTTTTCATTTTATTTATTTTTTTTAATTTTATCCTTATGCGATTAGGTTGAACAATTGGAAAGATCTTGAAAATGTTAAGGAAATTCATTGGTCAAAATGTGGGACAGCCCCGAATCCTGCTGAATATTCAGTTTCACTCAGTAGTGCGTCATATTATAGGAAATAGATGCACTGTAACTGCTATTTCATGTCATTTTTTATCTCTCTTTCTATTCTGTTATAGGTACATTGGCTTGTATTGCATCATTATAGTTTAATTATTATAATTAACTACATTTTAAAATGTTCTGAAGAAAATTTGACTGCAGCTTGACTGTCTGTCATCTTACATGCAAAATTGTCCAATCACTTATAAAAGTATTAGCACACCTCATTCACCTCATTAGGGGTTTGTTTGTTAAAGCACTGCTGAATATAAGATTGGAAGCGATCCGTGTTGTCTGTCTGTAGTTTGATGTCAGTGTTTTTATAGGAGCTTCATCACGACCCTGAGGGTTCAGGTATCTCATATATCTATTTATGTAAGACAGTGTGGCACACAAGCAGGCGTGTGGTCGGGTGTGTCCGGAAACAGCAGCATATAGTGTGAATGAGTTGTGTATCTGTGGTGTGCTATTACAGCTCATCAAGATGAGTATAAAACCACTTTGACACTCATATTGCTGTGGTATAATCAGACAATATCAGTGAATGCTGATACGCCTGCTCCTCTATTATACAGACACAAAGGTTTCTTCAAGCACGTCTTGGCAGCTGTCCTAAGGCTGCTATCCTCTCGTCCCAGATACATCCTGCTCGGCCAGCTCAAATATCAGCCTCCGTTGCAGGTTACGAGTTTAATGTTGCCACACAGAGCTGCTCGTTTTTTCACACAACAGAGATGGTACAGATGTAGCCTCCTGCTAGATTTAATCGCAAACCGCAGATGGGGAAGAGATGAACTTTCGCAGCAGGCTGAATGTGAATCTGAAAGATGCAGATGCTCTTTAAAAGTGCATATACTTACTTGTAGGGTAATGTGGAATGAAATAAGAAAATAACGTGGACCGAAACGGCATGCACTGATTGTTATATTCTTTTTCTTCTTTCAGGACTTAGAGTTCCATGGCGTGATGCGCTTTTACTTCCAGGATCGAGTGGCGGGGAACTTCGCCACAAAGTGTATCCGAGTGTCCAGCACGGCGACCACGCAGGATGTGATCGAGACGCTGGCGGAAAAGTTCAGACCGGATATGAGGATGCTGTCTTCTCCCAAATACTCCCTCTATGAGGTCCATGTCAGTGGCGGTGAGTCATAGGAACACAAAAAAATCATAAAATGCAGTTTTAAACATACACCATTCAAAAGTTTGGGGTTGGTAAGATTTTTTTAATGTTTTTGAAAGAAGTCTGATGTTCATCAAGGATACAATTATTTGATTAAAAATACAGTAAAAACTGTAATATTGTGAAATATTATTACAATTTAAAATAACTGTTTTCTGTTTCATTACACTTTAAAATGTAATTTACTCCTGTAATGCAAAGCTGAATTTTCAGCATCATTACTCCAGTCTTCAGTGTCACATGATCCTTCAGAAATCATTCTAATATGCTGATTTGCTGCTCTTATTATTATCAGTGTTGAAAAATTAATTTCTTGTTGAATGGTAGTGTACAATATGCAAATGCATACATGCTTACACTTAGCGACACAACTCAGTTTCACATGGTTGCATTTGGGAAAAGTCAAAATGCAGTTCATAATGCAACATCGCATGTAGCTGCATACTTCCAGAGTTTGTTTCTGGCCCTAATATTTTAGTTTAAACCTTCTGCAAGTTTCCAGTGGACAAAAATATCTGTAGTTTGTAAATAAAACAAAATTGACATATTGGTTCTTATGAAACACGAGCAGAACAAATTTCTGTAAAAGATTTTAAACCCTTTCTTTGAGTAAATATCACATTGAATTAAAGGGTTAGTTCACCCAAAAAAGATAATTCTGTCATTAATTACTCACCCTCATGTCGTTCCAAACCCGTAAGACCTTCATTCATCTTCAGAACACAAATTAAGATATTTTTGATGAAATCCGAGAGCTTTCCGACCCTGCTCAAAAATTATTCTCGTAGCTTCATAACATTACGGTTGAACTACTGATGTCACATGGACTATTTTATCGATGTCCTTACTACCTTTCAAAAATATCTTAATTTTTGTTCTGAAGATGAACGAAGGTCTTACGGGTTTGAAACGACATGAGGGTATTAATGACAGAATTTTCAGTTTCGGGTGAACTATCCCTTTAAATGCAATAATTTAGAAAATAATGGGTTTTTTAAATTTCTTGTGTTTTGTTTCATGAATGAGACCCATTAGGACTGTAGCCTTATTTTCATTTAGTGTACTTTGATTAAAGTCCATAGAGAGGTGATTTTCTGACTGGCATAATCTTTCTCTCTGACAGAAGAGAGGAAACTGGACTTGGATGAGAAACCACTGGTCGTACAGCTGAACTGGAACAAAGACGACAGAGAGGGCCGCTTCGTTCTCAAGAACGAGAACGACATCATGCCCAAGGTGAGAAAAGGTGGCCGAGACCAAGACCAAAAGTTAGAAAACAAACCCAACTTGTTTCACAGAGCCTGATTCTGTGGTTTGTTCTGCTTGAATGCAGGAGCTATAGTTTTACGATGATTCACCGAGGATGTCTGTTTGTGTTCTTTTCTGTTCTTAGTTATGATGGAACAGCTTTTTTAGTCCCCTGCTGTTCAGACAGCCCCTGAAACCATCTTCTCTCATTGCACGTCAGTTAAAAACCCTCTCAGGACATAAAAACACACAGGCATCAGCAGACACTTCATTTCCTCACTTAAGTGAAGCAGATCAAATTTTTTTTTTCTCGTTTTGCTCCGTCTGTCTCTTTCTCTCTCCACTTCGGTGGCTCTTAGTGTTGTGTGCAGCAAGGCTCCCCAAAGAGACATAAAATCAGAGCTAGCAGTGTCTGAGTCTGCAGGAATGTGTGTTTGGGTGTGTGGGCGGTAGATCCCAACAATTTCTGCATTTTAGGCTGTTTTCACACTTGGTTCGATCGTTCGGCCCGTACCAAAGTTTGATTCTTCCCTCCGAACCGCAATATGTTTCAGTCAACAATGTAAATACTAATGGCAGCTGTTTAACACTATAACTTGGTATCATCTCAGGATAAGATGCCAGTGTCACTGTTTTATTCATGTTTTTGTCACCTTAGATTTGCCACAAAACTTCACACACAGAACAGCACTTGCATTTGTCTGCTGCAGATACAGTACATTGCAAGAGATGTGAAGAACAAAAGCTGAAATTTATTTGAATATAAGCAACTGTGAGAATGCATTTTGAACGCATTTCACCTTATTTTTAATGCAAGGCATGCAGCCATTTGTAACTTGAATGTATAAGGCTTCTGCCGTCATTCACTTCCAGTAATTTAAGCTGTACAAAAATGGTCCATTATGCTGCTTATTATTAAAAACTGGTGTGTAACACGAATACTTTTACCGTTTACTGCACTGTTATTCTTCTAGTCATTTAACTAATGAATCAGAAGTCTCACACATTTACAAAAAAATATCTAGCTTCTAGGTTGCACAAAAAAGTGGAAGAGTGTGATCATGAGCATGCAAATAGCGATTCATGTCCGTAATTGTCCGGATTGCTTTTATTTCAACTCTGAACTGAAAACGTTCTAAACATCTGCTGTTTAGTTGCTCTCCGCTTAACCATTCGATGATATGGAGTTGAAGTGATGTTGTGACATCTGTCTGGCGCTCTCTTGTAGAGTAACTTGTTCAGCATGCTTGAATTTGAACTCTGCAGTCCTTGCTTTGGCTCTTACTATTCACTCATAACGCAATATTTTGAAATCTCCCTGTAAATTTTTGGAGCGTTTCCTATGATGTATTGCAAAATCACAACTGTATCAAGACCTGAAATCAACAGAAACACATTGTTCCACTTAATTTAACATTAACCTTTCACCACTTTAATGTATAATAGTTAATAATGCAATGAATTTTTCAAAAATAATTTAAATAAATATTAATTAAAAATGTAGGAAGCTTAAAAATATTGTTAAATAGACATAAAAGGAGATGCTAAGAATTTTCTGAATTAATTCAAATTTTCTGAATCATAACCTACTCTACCTGATATCTCACTGCAATTTTTCTCAACATTTTTCTCTTGATCTCTCCACCAGAAATCACTGACAAATGGCCCTGAGAAAGAGAAGGAGGGGGTGATCCAGAACTTCAAAAGAACACTGTCCAAGAAGGAGAAGAAGAAAGAGAAGAAGAGGGAGAAGGAGGCCTTTTCCAGAATTCCAGATGGAGACGATCACACACTGAACCGCGAGGATGGGTGAGGAGTATCAACCGATTAGCCTTGTATCATAGACATGCACATAAAGGCAATAGTCGATTAAAAGGGTTTTTAGTGAGAAACCGTTTAAGAGCATCTTTAAAACTAAATCCATTCAGCTGTTTGATTTCTCTTGTCCTAATCATTTGTGAAAAGACATATTTGGTTTCTCTTTCTGTGCTATAGTAGGTAGGCTTAATTGACTTACTTTTTTTATCACTCCTGTTTTCCCTCTTCCTGATAGAGAGAACTCTAGGTTGGCTGCTGAGGTATATAAAGACATGCCAGAGACCAGTTTCACACGGACCATTTCTAACCCCGAGGTGGTGATGAAGAGGAGACGACAGCAGAAGCTGGAGAAGAGGATGCAAGAATTCCGCAGTGGAGACGGTCGACCGGACTCAGGTTTGTAAACCACTACTACGTCAACATAATCTACACTGACATACAACTGCCCCTATTTGCGTATCAACTAAGTGATTATTCAGTAGGAGGCCTTGTTAATCATTTCACATGCAAAGAGGCTAACCAATCATGACAGAGCACTTTAGAGAGAACTCTAGGTTGGCTGCTGAGGTATATAAAGACATGCCAGAGACCAGTTTCACACGGACCATTTCTAACCCCGAGGTGGTGATGAAGAGGAGACGACAGCAGAAGCTGGAGAAGAGGATGCAAGAATTCCGCAGTGGAGACGGTCGACCGGACTCAGGTTTGTAAACCACTACTACGTCAACATAATCTACACTGACATACAACTGCCCCTATTTGCGTATCAACTAAGTGATTATTCAGTAGGAGGCCTTGTTAATCATTTCACATGCAAAGAGGCTAACCACTCATGACAGAGTACTTTTGCATATTAAAGTCGCACGACCATATATGGAAACTAAGCTACAAAAGTAGTTCATTCAGAATGTGTTATTTTTCTGAGGACAGACATGAGCATATTAATATAACTGTGCACATTTAGTGTTGGTACATTATAAGAATTAAATTTATGGTCATTGAGCTTTTCTGGAAGATTTATTGCTCTATATTTGTATCTAGACACTGTTTGGTCCAAAAAATGGCTTTGCGTTTGTTTTTCATGTAAAATAGGCTATGATGTCAGCAGTTTGTCTCCATGGGACACATGTAATTATACAATGAGAGCACTAAACCAGTGCCCTGGCATCTCCATTGCACTTGTTGGGACCTCTTGCCAATGAACCACCTACTTTCAAGTGGGGAAACCATTCCAGACCACAACATAAAACTTTATTTTGTAGCTCTGTTCACACTGACACCTAAAATAGCCTTTCTGTCCTGGACAGACATGGATATTTAGATTTTCCAGGCTTATGTAATCAGGATAATAACGTATGTCTGCTGCTGAGGGTTTAGACCAGAGGCAAATCCTTAATGTGACACGCATAGAAAGGCTCCCAGTTACTCATCACATTCACCCCGTCCGGCAAGAGTTAAGCAGTGTGTGAACTGGTTAAAGAGGCTTAGTCGTGCACACGGCTGGGCTTAGATCCCAGTGTTGGGGATGTTTGAGTTCTCACGCTGTGTGTGCTTCCATACTAATAGAATCCTTCAACCTACATTGGACACAACCGAAATCCAGAACATAGGATGGTGTTTTAAGAGCAGTGTTTTCTGTGCTAATGCTGTTACCCTAAATTTCCATTATTCATTGACTAGGCCATCAGTAGGTTTTGAAGCTGATGCAAGGGTTTTGAAATGCCAAGTATTGGCCAATTAAATGGCCTTGCCGTTATATCGGCCTGCCAGGTAGACAGGCAGGGAGTCATTGGGCATGATTATCAGCCAATTCTGATCATCTCGGAAAGCCTAGTATCCACTGATTAATTGGCCTCTCTGATGTATCGATCTACCGCTAATCTGCACTATTAGTTCTTAATTCTCTTGTATTATCAGACAATTCTGATAATCTGGAAAAGCCAGGTATCATCTGATTAATTGGCCTTGCCGATATATCGGTCTGCCACTAAGCTACACTATTAGTACTTAATCATCTTTGACACAATCTCTCTCTTTTAGGAGGGACTTTGAGGATCTACGCCGATAGTCTGAAGCCAAACATTCCCTACAAGACCATCCTGCTCTCAACTACTGATATGGCTGACTTTGCTGTGGCCGAGGCTCTGGAGAAATACGGTCTGGAGAAGGAAAATCCCAGAGATTACTGCATCGCCCAGGTGAGGTTTAATGCAGTGTTAGCTTTCTAATGCTTTCAGAGAGTTGTACTTTCCTAAAATTTGAAGGTGCAGCTCTGTCAGACAGTGTTTTTAAAATCTGCAGGATGGATTTTAAGATGGTAGAATGAAGGGATGGACAATATTTTGATACTATGTCATGGATATTTAATTGTGCAATGTCTGCTGCTGAGGGTTTAGACCAGAGGCAAATCCTTAATGTGACACGCATAGAAAGGCTCCCAGTTACTCATCACATTCACCCCGTCCGGCAAGAGTTAAGCAGTGTGTGAACTGGTTAAAGAGGCTTAGTCGTGCACACGGCTGGGCTTAGATCCCAGTGTTGGGGATGTTTGAGTTCTCACGCTGTGTGTGCTTCCATACTAATAGAATCCTTCAACCTACATTGGACACAACCGAAATCCAGAACATAGGATGGTGTTTTAAGAGCAGTGTTTTCTGTGCTAATGCTGTTACCCTAAATTTCCATTATTCATTGACTAGGCCATCAGTAGGTTTTGAAGCTGATGCAAGGGTTTTGAAATGCCAAGTATTGGCCAATTAAATGGCCTTGCCGTTATATCGGCCTGCCAGGTAGACAGGCAGGGAGTCATTGGGCATGATTATCAGCCAATTCTGATCATCTCGGAAAGCCTAGTATCCACTGATTAATTGGCCTCTCTGATGTATCGATCTACCGCTAATCTGCACTATTAGTTCTTAATTCTCTTGTATTATCAGACAATTCTGATAATCTGGAAAAGCCAGGTATCATCTGATTAATTGGCCTTGCCGATATATCGGTCTGCCACTAAGCTACACTATTAGTACTTAATCATCTTTGACACAATCTCTCTCTTTTAGGAGGGACTTTGAGGATCTACGCCGATAGTCTGAAGCCAAACATTCCCTACAAGACCATCCTGCTCTCAACTACTGATATGGCTGACTTTGCTGTGGCCGAGGCTCTGGAGAAATACGGTCTGGAGAAGGAAAATCCCAGAGATTACTGCATCGCCCAGGTGAGGTTTAATGCAGTGTTAGCTTTCTAATGCTTTCAGAGAGTTGTACTTTCCTAAAATTTGAAGGTGCAGCTCTGTCAGACAGTGTTTTTAAAATCTGCAGGATGGATTTTAACATGGCAGAATGAAGGAATGGACAATATTTTGATACTGTGTCATGGATTTTTAATTGTGCATGCTCATTTCGCCTATTTTTACATTAGATTACATCATCTAATGGTGACAAAGTTAATCTTTAAAAACATTCATAAAAAAACATTTATAACACTGCTGAATGTAATCTTTAACAAATCTCAAAATGTGTATTCATTTTTTTAATACTGTACTGTTATAATGAAGCTTAAATTCACTTTAAAATTTCAAATTTCAAATAATCATTAATCATTGATCTTCCAATTCTGTGGAAATCTTCGAAAGTTTCTTTATAATTCTGTGCCTTCTAGGGGTGTAACGGTACACGTATTCGTACCGAACCGTTTCGGTACGGGTCTTTCGGTTCGGTACACATGTGTACCGCACGAATACATTTTTTTTTTCTTCTTAGGAAATTCAAATAATAAATGGCGTTTTGACCGTCTTTTATGTGGCATGACAGATCGCTGTATAAACGCCTTGGAGAGCCGCTTCTGGGACGGTTCAGAAACGTGCTGGTATAATCCCAACACAAGCA